ATTTTCAAAAATTTTTTTTTTTTTTTTGGTTAACAATAACACTGTCATTGCTTTTTCACACCATGTTTGGTGGTATTAAACTAGACAAAATTGACACTTTTTTTTCCTCTTATGTTCATTAATTAATTAATTAATTCATAGGCCTTCCTTTGTGGCTAATAATAAAATGTTAGCTATAACAAATAATAAGTTTGTGCTTTATTTATTTTAAATTTCATTTCTTACTTGGGAACGTCCTACTTGCTAAAATGTTCATTGAACTTGTGTGGAATTTCCTCTGGCACATTTGAGTTTACGGCGTTACAGTATCTACATGGCTAACAGCAGTCATTAATAAAACTTTTCTTGTGTGCTTAACAGCTCCACCGCAGACAACAATGCTCTATTGATGTCTAGTGGGTTAATTTGCCATGTTTCAAGAGTGGCATAAACAAATTAAGCCTTATGACTTGACATGAAGGTGATTTACCTGTCTGCTTATCCTGTGGACACACCCACTCTTAAATCGACTGCCGCAGAATTTAAGTGGTCATAAAGTTGTGTTGCTGCAAGCAGCTGGTCAGGGTTTATCCCTTGGGGATCTCCAAAAATAAACTGCTTTATATGGATTACCAAGGGAGAACATATGTAAAATCCATATTGAATTTCCATTGTGTGCCCTGCCACCTCTTCCCCTTCTTTTAAAGTAGATATGGGTTGGCATTTTAAAAGGAAAACTGACCAACATTTGTTTGAATATAGTCTGAGTTTATTTAAATGCAGCGTGATTTAATGTCATTCGAACATTTGGTCATATTTCCTATGTGGTCAGAATTGATCCAAGCATTTAGACATCTGTCGGCTAATTCTTAATGGCCATGGGATAAATTAGCTGTGGTATAAATTTTAAAGGTTGATTTAAAGTCAACATGATGTCAAAACTGAATGTTTTTTTTTTTTTAATGAATGTTTCTGTGAGCAATTCGTTGGTGCATGTTATTCTAAAAAGAAAAATCGCCTTTGTCATCTATAATCAAAATGTTATAACTTGGTGTCATTATTGGATAATGTTTACCAATAGCTAAATAGCTATTTTGACTTTGCTACATTTGGTCTGAGTTTATTCTGGTATGTGACTCACTCTTCATGATTTAAAATCCATCAGGAATTGATTCAAATCAAGTCCCGCCACATTTTTTTCTTAATATCTTGTTTCAATCCGAAAGGTCACATTATAGAATTAAAATGAGTTTCAAACGTCAGTTCCTATTGTTTCTAAAAGTATTCTAGCTGATATCATATGAAATCAAAGGTCTCTGACAAGGTAAAGCTTTCAAAATTATTGCTTTTTTGTCAATTCCGATCCAACTGATCCAAACCTTTAATAACTTTCACCCTGGTGCCAAGAGCATGGATTAGCTCATTACCCATGATAGCAACCTGCTGATAAGACCATTAGATACTAGAAGTTATTGGAAGCTCTTCTCACAGACGGTCATTTCCTCCCTTACACAGTCTCCTGTTAAACATACGCTAATGTAGCGTTTACTAGCCTGTTAGCACTCCCTGCCCCAATTACTCGTGCCCTAATGGAGCTTCTCTGACAGGTGTGTTGAGTAGTTTACAGTCGGAAAAAAATCTCTTTAAAACCTGTTTTAAGAGTGGCCAATAAATAAAGCTTTTCAGTGGGAGGATTGCTGGGAAGTGGCTGTTATGCTAAGAGTTCAACAGCTCCAGTGTTGAAGTGGCTGAGTAGATTACACACCGCAAATCTCACTATCAACAGCCACTCTGTGTTTATGTCTCCCAGACTCTCACAGTTTGATGGCCCAACCTATGCGGTGTTTGGAAGGCCTCGGCGCTCGTGAGGTGTGGGTAGAGCAAACTAATCTGGGTGTAGGAGTATATAATAATAAACTCCAAAGAAATAGAGGGTTGCTAACGCTGTGCACTAGCCGGGGTGGAGGTCCGCTGGGAGCCGTCAAATGCCTGGCGTTCTCGGAAAGACCTGGAGGTAGTGGGCAGACATTACAGCCTGGAGACGACTCCTGGGGATTCGGTTTATTTCAACACCCATTTGAGCATAGTGTCATGCACCCAAAAGAATGGGAAGAGACTTCTTTTGTATTTGCTTGGGTAACCATTTACCATGAAATAGTCCTGTTTTATAATCCAGAACGTCCATAATACAAACCCTGAGTTGGTTACACGGAGTGTTACCTTCCAGTTTCACAACACCACCCCCAGCTTTAGACCGCTAGATATAACACGACTCTGCAATCAGATCTCTAACTGACGCAGACGTCGCACAGAGGATGCTTTTGAGCACGCATCCATGCACCTTTACAAAATAAACCCCCATGTTTATAGACCGAAGGGACTGAGGAATGTAGGAAATGTATCCAATCTCTATACCCACTGTCCTCTACTGTTTTGTTTATAAACCTCCCTCAGGGGCCATTTACTGGAATGGTAAATTCTTAGATAAAGGAAATGGTTTTCTTTCTTTCTTTTTTAATGCAAACACATTTGAGCAGTCCTTTTGCAAATGATTAAAATTACATATCTGTTGTATTGAAAGCACTACAATTAGGGATGTAACGATTACTGGTTTGACGATAAATCATGATAAAATTCCCCACGGTTACCGTTTCATCTTTTAATTATCATTAAAACCGTATTCAGTTACCACAATTTGAACAACTCGCGATAAATAAATACTGTCCAGCATAAAGCACAGTTTTAAGTAACAGTCTCACGTGCGCACAGAACGCAGAGTAGTTTCATTTTGTGTGAAAACATGGCGGAAAGCTAAGAGGTTTTAAAAGTGCTAAGGGAATTATACGAATGAATTAATTATATGAATGTAACTCTGAAGATTCTGACTGTCTAAAGAAAAGGTTCGATGGCATTTAGTTTTCATCTTCACTCCATGTAATACCTAATAAAGTAGTATTCTTAATCGCAGTGCTGCTTTGTCCACAGAGGTTTACGGGAAACAGCTCTAATTCAGCTGTTCCATTAGCGCCACTAAGTG